GATCTCAGCAGGAAGCTCATTCCATAAGGCCGGTGCAGCTACAGAGAAGGCCCTCCCTCGGGGGGGGGGGGGCCAGCCGGCATTGTCTGGTCGACGGCATCCGGAGGAGGCCCAACCTGTGTGATCTTATTGGTCATTGGGAGGTAAATGGCAGGAGGCGGTCTCTCAGGTAGCCAGGTCTGATACCATGTAGGGCTTTAAAAGTAACGACTAGCACCTTGAAGCGAGTCCGGAGACCGATAGGAAGCCAGTGCAGCTCGCGAAGGATAGGTGTAACATGGGTGTACCTCGGTACACCCATTATCGCTTGTGCAGCTGCATTCTGGACCAGCTGTAGTCTTCGGACACTCTTCAGTGGCAGCCCCATGTAGAGCGCGCTACAGTAATCCAGTCTTGAGGTGACGAGGGTGTGAGTGACCATTCAAAGTGCCTCCCGGTCCAGATAGGGCCGCAACTGGTGCACCAAGCGAACCTGGGCAAAGGCCCCCCTGGTCACAGCCGACAAATGGTGTTCTAACGTCAGCTGTGAGTCCAGGAGGACACCCAGATTGTGTGCCCTCTCTGAGGGGTGGATAATTTCACCCCCCAGGCTCAGAGGTGGAATATCAGGACCGTTCTTGAGAGGCAACATCAATAGCCACTCGGTCTTGTCTGGACTGAGTGCAAGCTTGTTTGCTCCCATCCAGACTCTGACAGCCTTCAGGCACTGGCACATCACTTCAACTGCTTCATTGAGTTGGCACGGGGCGGACAGATACAATTGTGCATCATCCGCGTATTGATGATATTTAATCCCGTGCCGGCGTATGATCTCACCCAGCGGCTTCATGTAGATATTGAACAGGAGGGGGGACAGGACCGAACCCTGGGGCACCCCATATTTGAGGGGCCTAGGGGTCGATCTCTCTCCCCCGGCCAACACCGACTGTGACCTGTCCGAGAGGTAGGAGGAGAACCACTGTAGAATGGTGCCTCCCACTCCCACCTCCCATAACCGTCGCAGAAGGATACCATGGTCGATGGTATCGAAGGCCACTGAGAGGTCAAGAAGCACTAGGATAGAGGAATGACCTCTATCCCTGGCCCACCTGAGAGCATCGGTCAGCGCGACCAAAGCAGTTTCGGTGCCGTAACCAGGCCTGAAAACCGACTGAAAGGGATCCAGATAATCTGTTTCATCCAAGGTTCGTTGGAGTTGAAAGGCCACCACCTTCTCAACAACCGTCCCCACGAATGGGAGGTTGGAGACTGGATGATAGTTCTTCAAAATGGCTGGATCCAGGGAAGATTTCTTGAGGAGGGGTCTCACCACCGCATCCTTTAAGGGGTGCGGGAAGGATCCCTCCCGAAGAGAGGTGTTAATAATCCCCTGGAGCCAAACTTACTTGCCTAAAATTTCTAAATCATCTGGGATCAGTCAACTCAGGCTACCTCTCAGAGTGTTTGACTTGTTCTCTTACCACCGTTGCACTTAACAGAATTTTAAGCAGAGCCAAAATTGTTTCACATTTGAGTGGAAATGCTCAGAAACCTATAGGCAATAGACTACACAAAAACATGTGTTTTTTTTAAATCCTAGGAGAAAATAATGGCAAGCTGTTTCCATATGGCTGCCATGAAAACCAGAGCAATTTTGTTTCTTGTTACAAGTAAACTATTTCCATTCACAGTCTCATACTTTCCAATCTCTTTTTCTTTAACAACATTAAAGAATGGTTTTCTGCCCAGTGACTGGAGACCAGTTTCCTATTCTCTATGATAGCTTCTTACTCATACCTACGCAAATGTGTACTCCCTCTATCTCTCTCTCTCCCCCCCGCTCTCACACACACACAGTTTCATCACTAGCATACACACAACCATATTACTCACCCTCTTAAATTCTTTTTTGAGACTGATGATCAGATGAAGTTTCACTTTTCAGTTACTTAAAGATGGTTACAAATTAAGGAACTAAAGTTTAGTAAGGGATTACAAATTTTAGCATTCTAATCCCAGGCAAGAGCAAGGAGAGAAAGAAATGGGATGTGGGAAAATATCTCTAACAAAGTTTCCAAGCTGAAATAGCTTCCTTTCTTCCGATTTTATTTATTCATTTATTCAATCGCTAAGGCTGCCCATTTGTTAAACCATGCCGAGTAGCTTATAAAATGATTATAACATCATCAACGTTTGGAAAAAGAAAAGGAAAAATCAAATCAGTCACAACAATAAAAACACTACACTAGAGGAAAATAGCTTCCAGAAGTCTCACCGTTTAATCTAGAATAACAGAGTTGAAAGGGACCTTGGAGGTCTTCTAGTCCAATCCCCTACTTATGCAGAAAATCCTACACCACTTCAGACAAATGGTTTATTGTATCACACCCACCCCCAATCTCTCAGAGGCAAGGTCAAGTAGAGAAGGAAGGCCAAAGAAAGTGGAAACACATTGGCTGATTTATCCCCCCCCCCCAAGATCAAAAGCCTTCCTCTCTTATTCTGCATGTCTCCCTTTTCAAAATGTCTTTGGGAGTTACAACACCTTGTAATTCATGCCATATTAGTGTACAGAAGTTAATTCCAGAATAAATGTGTGATGTCTTTACAGGTTGCCATAAGTACTCCTTGGAAGTATTTTAATTCATCCAGCTTTCTGTATATTCATATTGCTTATGCTAGAATTGTTCCCACATAAGATGACTATGCTGTTATGCAGATGCAGTTACTCAACACTGGTCTGCATGTGCTGACACCTTCCTCTTTTTTTGTCATTCAACTTCTGTGTCTTGTACCTCAACATCCAAACAGACTTTGAACACCAAGCTACATTATTTATGATGTATTTATGTTTCCTTCCATAGAACCAGTTGATCACTGAAGTAAAAATGGTGACACGGGTCCTTTTCCTCTTTCTCCCATTACCAATGTTCTGGGCACTCTTTGATCAACAGGTAATACACATCTATACTAAGCAACATTTTACACATTACCTCTGATTTTTGAAACTCAAAAGCTGGGTACATCCTATTATGCTGTACCACAGTGCACTAAATTGGATTATGTTTTTCATACTTCAATGTGTTGTGGGAATCCGGACATCTTAGTGTGCTGTATGAACTGGTCATCATTTTAAAGCATTCAGTGGGTTATTTATTTCTTTGTAGCAGCAACTATGTTTTCTTAATTCAGCTTTAAGTTTTCAGAGTTACCTGAATCCAACTAGTAAATTACTATCATGGTTGACTTCCACTAAAACATATATCTGTGTCAGTAGCATTGAGATTCTTTGTTTTATTGGAAGATTTATTTTAATTTTGAAGGACAGTTGCCATGGAGCTGACCATTTAATTCAAACAATGTAAATGTCCACACTAATCCTTATGATGGGCATGAAAGCCAGCTAAGTGACTTTGGGCCAATTACTCTTTCTCAACTTCACTCACCTCACATGGTAGTGGTTGTGTGGAAAATATAAGGAGGAAAGGTGTATTGGCTATGTTCACCACCTTGAGTTATTTATAAAAATATTAAAGGCAGGATACAAAAAATTAATGGAGAAATGTAAATATATCCTTTACATTAAATGTATTTATTAGATTGATTCAGAAAGAGAATTGCACTTATTGCTGCTCCCATATCGCTAATTTTTGCCCTGATGATAGATTAAAATTGATTTCATCTTCAAACTAAGAATCATTTTCTGTTAGCAAATTATGTACACAGTACTTCTATGAAAGATAGTACATGAACATGTGAACACTGATAACCAAATAGTGCCATGCCCAAAAAATTAAAAGGGAAATAAATGATCAAAGAACCAATCTAGTTAATTGAGACAGGAAAGCATTGGCCTGTATAAGTAACTTTAATTCCTAATTATTGCATCTATATCAAGAATTGGGTAATGTGTGAAAAATACTGTTCTTCCATTATCTATTGTGTAAAGGTTGGTCGTATAGATAAAGAGAGAATGTATAATATTTTAGTTGTTTGCAATAACTCTTTCAGATAAAGATGTGAATTTAAGATATATTTTCATGTTCAAATGTGATGTAGAAAAACTATCATTTTAAAGATATTTTAATTACTTTTATTAGCTTAGCATTTTAAAATATATTTAAAATTCTGTTTATATATATTTTTATCACAGCAAACAGGAAAATTGAAGATACAGAAAAAGATAGCGATAAATTCTTCTTAATCATACTCATTAATTCAATAAAACTCACTTAAAATTTAAAAACCACATTGAAAATGCATTCTTTTGACATATATTATTTTAACAAGTAACTCAGAAATCTACTACTTATACATTTATCCATTACTATTTATTCTTTCTAGTCATAAAAACAATTATGTGTAATCTCAGGTAGGTCTCTTACAGTTCATGGTGTTTCATGAATAGAATAGATATTTGAGATAGGGTTCATACTGGCCACTGCCAGTAATTATGAATTATGGAAGTTTGTAGACCAGAAATTTGCAACAGCTTTTATTTTCCTTTCCCCTCCATAGGGTTCCAGGTGGACTGTACAAGCAACTAAAATGAATGCTGACTTTGTAAGTGGTATTTCTTGCTTTAAACTTTTAAGCAAAAGTAGTTGTACAAAATAAAGCAATATAACATGAAACAGGAGACAAAGGATATTCCAAGATTTATAATATGTCTCGGCTTAGTTGGATCCCAAGATTTCTTAAAACACAATTATGGATGTTACAGTTGCATCATCATCATCATCATCATCATCATCATCATCATCATCATCATCATCATCCTTACAGTTATTGTTATTATCACTATTAGCAAATCATTAAATTTAGCTTGAGCAAAAACTGTAGCCCAATGACAATAGGTCACTTTCAACACATATATTTCAAGATGTCCCTAGTTCCTTAGTTCCCACTAAGAAAAGAATATCAATTAATGGAACTATTAGTAAGCTATTATTGACTCATACTAGCCTAACGTTTTCAATTATTCTTTCAGAATAATCATTCTGAAAGAAAAATTGGTTCTATAGTCCTTCTTGCCAGCATTGGATTGGAGATTTAGAATATAGAATCCCTTACTTCTGGGGTATATTAGATTAGATAAGGCTGGATCATTGTATGGACTTAATCTAAAAAAAAACATGTTATGTCTTCAGGTTTATATTCATTTCTTCATGGAATTATAGATTTGTTATAGCTATAATATTCTGATGTGATCAGTTAAATTGAGAAGTGCCTTGAATTTCATAGCTAAGTGGGAATCTGAATAATTTTCTCCTTATTGTACAGGTAGTCCTCAACTTACAAAAGTTTGTATAGTGATCATTCAAAGTTATAACTGCACTGAAAAAAGTGGCCTATGACCATTTTTCACACTTATGGCCATTATAGCATCCCAATGGTTACATGATCAAAATTCAGGTGCTTGGCAACTGATTTGTATTTATGATGGTTGCAGTGTGCCAGGGTCACATGATTCCCTTTTGTGAGTTCTGACAACCAGATTCACTTAACAACCATGATACTAACTTAACAACTACAGTGATTCACTTAACAAATGTGGCAAGAAAAGTCCTAAAATGGGGCAAAACTCACTTAACAGATATAAATTTTGGGCTCAATTATGGTTGTAATACCTATATTATCTTCCCTAATTCTCAGAGAAACAATGTTAGAAAGAGAAAGATGTTGATTGTTGGGGATACCTACATGTGAATGAATGATTTTTCTTTTCTGTGGATATATGGGATCATCAGCTATAATCTTAGTGTGAGAATGAGCTGATTGCTTCTGTACTAAAAGAGACATGAAAGGCTTGTAATTTATAAGAAAGATTTGAATTGAGCTCTGGAAGAATCATGAATAGCTCACTCATATCAAGTCCCCTGTCCCTAAGACAATTTTCTATTCACTAGCTCACATCCAGATTACAAAGACAACACAACTCAGGATATTAGACAAGCAAGATTCAGGTCAATGTCCCTATGGAACAATATTGAAGCATCACATCAGTGCTCATTATGCACCATGTCATTCAGAACAGAATGGAGACCTGTTTTTAAAACAAGCATTGCTTCTCTGTGATTAACAACAACAACAACAACAACAACACTGTTTAGAGATATAATTACTAAAGAAATAATATGTTCTGCCATGAGATCTCCATTATGTCCTGCCAGAGATTTGCTTCAAAAGCATTGGTCTTTTCAGTCAATGAGAAAGTGAACTCAAGCATAAAAATAAATCTTTAGCTATAGAGGGAACGCTTAAGTCCTCCACCTCCCATCCTATATGTTAGTAACTTGCATCAATAATGCCAGTTCTGCCATTGTTGCCTTTATTAACTCTTTTCCTATGTTGTTGTCTTCTAGGAAGGATTTGTCCTTCAACCTGACCAAATGCAGGTAAGCTGAAGCTGTAAGCTGTCTGTTCTCCCAATGTTATTCTCTGATAACATTGCAATGATTTCATGGGGAAAAAATATCTGGGGGTGGGGTGGGGGAAGGAGTACACCCTTACAGACTGTATCCTGGAATTCAGTCACCGACCATTGGGAATGGTATGACAACTGTAGATAATCATAAATTACAGCTGCCTGTTGATCTCCGGGTGCGCTTCAAGGTGCTAGTTGTCACCTACAAAGCCCTTCATGGTATTGGATCTGGGTACTTGAGAGACCGCCTACTGCCAATTACCTCCACTAGACCAATAAGATCCCATAGACTAGGCCTCCTCCAAATTCCATCAGCCGGCCACTGTCGACTGGCAACTACCCGGAGGAGGGCCTTCTCGGTGGCTGCTCCGACCCTCTGGAATGAACTCCCTGTGGAGATTCGTACCCTCACCACCCTCCAGGCCTTCCGCATAGCCCTTAAAAGCTGGCTGTTCCGACAGGCCTGGGGCTAAAAGACTTGCACCCCCCCTTGAATGGTATGACTGTTGTGCTTTTTAACGGTGTATGGTTTTTCATGTTTGTAACTTGTCTGTTTTTCCCCTCCCTTGAATTGTGAGCCGCCCTGAGTACCCTCAGGGAAAAGGGCGGCATACAAATAAAGTAAAATCTAAATCTAAATCTATCACATTGCATGGCAGCTTGTTCTACTGACTTGTTCCTCTAGTTTATACCGTCAGGAAGTTTCTCTTTGTTTTACTCTAAACCAGGAGAATATAGGTTTAAATTAGGAGTTGTGAATGTGAGTTTAAACAACTTGCCTATATTTTTCCTATTCGTGTCAGAAAATCAGTAATTTATATTGAATATGATATTGAGATATGGCTATATGCAAGTGAGCATGTATCAAAGGAGTTCTTGATAAAGGTCTACGAATTATGGAATTCTGATGGATCTTAATTTAGTTAATATTTAGCCTTAGTTAAGTATCACTCAAGAGAACAAGTGTGATGTAGTGATTAAGGCACCAAGACTTACTTGGGGACAGGTCCTCATTGAGAAAATTGCCAATAATTGAAAGTGCTTTGATAGTAAATTATCTACGTCTGTCTGTCTGTCTGTCTGTCTGTCTGTCTGTCTGTCTGTCTGTCTGTCTCAGCAAACTGGATTTGAGGAGGAACAGGTTATTTGAAATCAGTGTAGGTGCTCCTAGCTGCTCTGAGTGGCTGCATGCATTTGGAATCATCTGTCCCCTTTCAAATATGGATGACTGCACATTGCTACTGTGCATCTATATGTGTAAATTGTTTCCTCAGAATAAATTCTCCCTGAGTCCCATAAGCACCACGGTCAGCAGGGATGGTAACACAATTTGCAAGTTGTCATTGCAATTCGACCCCCCCTCCCTTTTTTTACATGTGTCAAGGTTCCCTAATATCTGTTGCCAGTGAGTTTTATTCCCTACTAAATTACTTTAGGATTGTAATGGCAAACTAATAACCTCCTGCAATTTTTGATATTCCAGTTCTTAAATCCTCTCTTGATCCTTGTCTTCATTCCTGTCTTTGATTTTGGATTATATCCCTTGGTAAACCTGTGCAGACTTAATTTCACGTAAGTACCTAAGGGGAAAAAAACTTATTTGGTTCAGCCCAGAAGGGGTATTCAGGAAGTTCTGACCAGTTCTGGAGAACTGGTAGGATAAATTTTGAGTAGTTCGGAGAATTGGTAAATACCACCTCTGACTGGCCCCACCCCCATATATTCTCTGCTTCCCAAGTCCCAGTTGATCGGGAGGGAATGTGGATTTTGCAGTATCCTTCCCCTGGAGTGGGGTGGGAATGGAGATTTTATGGTATCCTTCCCTGGAGTGGGGTGGGACTGTAGATTTTACAGTATCCTTCCCCTGTCACGCCCACTAAGTCACAACCACCAAGCCATGCCCACAGAACCGGTAGTAAAAATTTTTGAATCCCACCACTGGTTCAGCCGATGCCCTCTGAACATATTGGATTACAGGTTCTATCATCTCCAACAAAAATATGGCCCCAATTGGTTACTGTTGAAGAGATCTTGTCCAATCCAATGAGGCTTCCAGACTGGGGAGGGTAGAGTAGTGTCTCCTTTCTTAAAACATAGAGAGCAAATTCAAACATACTTGTACATTGTGAATATTCTAAACTTATTAGTTATCAAACCGGAATGTATAAGAAGCAGAACGAGAATATACTTTTAACTTCTGCAAGGTTTATGTACAGCTTCTCCACAATTAAAAACAAAACAAAACCAAGCAGGCTATTTTGCAGGTTTTAGATCACCAGATTCACACAATCTGCCAAGAGAAGATGATTTGCTTACTTTACAAAAGTATAATATTATGCTTTGTAAACAATGGTGAGTGGCTTCTGTATGCTATGTGAACCTATCAGGGGTGGGTTCCTGCCAATTCTAACCTCTTCTATAGAAGAGGTTCCACAAATTTACAGTGCCATTTAGAACCGGTTCCAGCTCCCTCCCCCCGCTCATCCACACATCATCAAGATGAAGAGCGAGAGGAGGAATTCTGGGAGTTGAAGTCCACAAGTCTTAAAGTTGTCAAGTGTCGGCCTCTGTTTTGCTGCTTGCTTTTCGGCTGCCATTGAAACAGGGAGGGAGGGCATAGTAATTGGGTGAGGGAAATAATCTGTACAGGAGGACTGTTAATTGGGAGTTGTTCTCACTATTTGTTTGCGCATGTGAAGAGGGGGAGTTTCCCGCCATGGCCAACTGTCTGGCATACCAACCTGATGATGATTTTTGAAGATGTCTCCCACCTGACAGCCATGGAGATATATGATTGGACTATGGATTGGGGTACCAGGGGGAGGGGAATGAATCATGTATTGATATCTCATCTCATGCT